TTTTTTTTTTTTTTTTTTGAAACACAGCCTCAAGCTGTCACCCTGGGTAGAGTGCTGTGGCATCACAGCTCACAGCAACCTCCAACTCCTGGGCTTAAGCGATTCTCCTGCCTAAGCCTCTGAAGTAGCTGGGACCACAGGCACCCCCCACAACACCCGGCTATTTTTTTTTGGTTGCAGCCGTCATTGTTGTTTGGCAGGCCCAGGCTGGATTCAAAGCTGACACCCCCAGCTCAGGTGTATGTGGCTGGTGCCTTAGCCGCTTGAGCCACAGTCGCCGAGCCTGCAATTTGTATGTCTTGAAGAGGCTGGATTCAAACCCACCAGCTCAGGTGTATGTGGCGGCTGCCTTAAGCCACAGGCACCGAGCCCCAACTGACATTTTTTTAAGGCTCGGCGCCCATAGTATGATGGTTAGTGGTTCTGGCACCAGCTACATACACGCAAACCCAGCCTGGGCCTGCCAAACAACAATGACAACTACAACCAAAAAATAGCCAGGCATTGTGGTAGGTCCCTGTAATCTCAGCTATTTAGGAGGCTGAGCCAAGAGAATCACTTAATACCAGGAGTTTGAGGTTTCTGTGAGCTGTGATGCCCCGGCACTCTACCAAGGGCAACAAAGTACGACTCTGTCTCAAAAAAAACTGACATTGTCCTGTAATCCCAGTACTCTGAGAAGCCGAGGTGGGCAGATCGCCTGAGCTCACGAGTTCAAGACCAGCCTGAGCTAGAGCAAGACCCCCCACATCTCTAAAAGAAAATAGCCTGGCATTGTGGTGGGTGCCTGGAGTCCCAGCTACTCGGGAGGCTGAGGCAAGAGAATCACTTGTGCCCAAGAATTAGCGATTGCTGTGAGCTATGACGGGTGCCAAAGTGAGACTCTGTCTCAAAAAAAAAAAAAAAACAAAAACCTGACAATTTCTTTTATCGCTTAGGATGAAGCCTTCAAAGACAGCCAATCAGAGAGTGTAGAACATTGGATGTCTACCAGATTTCCTCATTAGAGGTCAGCTGGGGGACAGCTGCCCCACGAGGAGGTGGACAGAGCTTAAGTGAGAAAGACTTTCTGCTGATTAGAAGAGCCAAAGTTCTCTGCAGATGGAGTCTGGCAGACCAAGTCTGCTTAACTAGATAACTAGTGATTAGACATTCAAGGAGAGAAGTTTGGGATGACTAAACTGACTCAGGATGGGTACAGTGTTAGGGGCCTGGACCTTACTCACCAATCATCCCCCTCCGCGCGGGAGGCCCGGCCCAGAGCGCGGAGCCAGCCCCGCAGGTCCTCCAACGTGTCAGCAGCCAAAACATAGGTCCTCATACCTGGGTGCTCTGCCTGTGGGAAAAGAGGGATTATGACCTGGGCACCAGTCCCTCTAAAAAGAAAGGTGTCATTGACCCTGGTGAAGACCTTTTATCGCCAGTAATGAATACTTTAATCCTGGAACTTAAAAGGTTTCCTCCACAGATATCTATCCCCTCCCCCCAGTTCCCATCACCTAGTACCCATGGGGGATGGATGGACTCACGGTGAAGGTGAAGCGCCGTCCTCGGGGGGCTCCTGGCCCATCTGGCCTAATACTGTAGCTGGGGAGCAGGACGCTGCCCAGGACACTCTCCTCGCGGCTGTCTGCAAAGAGGGGGCTGAAGTCATGATCACATAGTGATCAGGAGGCCAAGAGGCCACAGGGGAGGGTATGTGGGAATGGGGGCCTCCTACCCCATGCCATCTGGGACACTGACCCTTGTAATAGAAGAGACAATGACCAGAGAGGACAAACCAGCGGCGTTTCCAGAGCCGAAGCCCAGAGCTGTCCTGTGGAAAGAGATGAGAGGAGGGGCCTGAGGGGACAGAAGAGGAGGAAGGAGATGAAAACAGTGACAGTGGGGATAGAGACCCAGAGAGAAGATGAGAACTGGAGAGAAAGAAACAGAAACACAGACTGAAGACAGAGACACCTGGCTGGGGGGACCGAGGAAGGAGAAGGATAGACCATGTTTGATGTAATGAACTCGAGAGCTGGAAGCCAGCGTGTAGTGGCTAAGCTAATGTGGATTCTGGACACAGCTGGACCTGAGTTCTACTCCTATCTATACCCCTCTCAAGCTATGTCCTTAAACAAGTCATTTCCCCACTAGGAACTTTGTGTTTTCTCATCTGTCAATTGGGGGTTGAGAAGCGTTAGAGAGGTTCAGATGAGATAATGTACCACATGTGGGCAAGGGCTTTATATCCAGAGACTTCATCCAATTACTGGGTTGTGAGACACAGAGAGGCCAGGAAGGTGGCACTGAGCCATACCCTGAATCCCATGTCTCCCCACCACCTCTGCCTGGACCTGGACCACTTCATCATCTCTAATCATGTGGAAGACAGAAAGCATGATATTTTATTTTATTTTTAGAGACAGAGTCTTACTTTGTTGCCCTCAGTAAAGTGTTGTGGCATCACAGCTCACAGCAACCTCCAGCTGTTGGGCTTAGGCAATTCTCTTGCCTCAACATCCGAGTAGCTGGGAATACAGGCGCCCACACAACACCCAGCTACTTTTTGTTGTTCAAACTCACCACCCTTGGTATATGGAGCCAGCACCCTACTCACTGAGCTGCAGGCGCTGCTCCAATCATGATCATTTAAAATTATGTTAGATTGGGTTTGCACCCGCAGCACAGTAGCTATGGTACCAGCCACATACACCAAAGGTGGCAGGTTCAAACACAGTCCAGGACAGCTAACCAACAATGACAACTGCAACAAAAAATAGCCAAGTGTTGGGGTGGGTGCCAATAGTCCCAGCTACGTACTTGGGAGGCTGGCGCAAGAGAATCGCTTAAGCCCAAGAGTTTGAGGTTGCTGTGAGCTATGACACCATGGCACTCTACTGAGGGCAACATAGTGAGACTCTGTCTCAACAACAACAACAAAAAACTGTTAGATTATGGAAGTCCCCTTCTCAAAACAGAGCTTACTATCACATTTATAATAAATCTCAAATTCCTTAGCCTAGTATACTGGTTTGCAGGGAGTCTCCAGCTTCAGCACACATAAGAATCATTAGGAAGATGTGTTAAAACCTCACCCCTAGAGTTCCTGATTTGGTTGATCATCTGTATTTCTAGCAAGTTCCCAGGTAATGCTGATTGCTGCTGGTCCAAAGACCACACTTTGAGAACCACTGCCCTGCCACTGCTTTGCCTCGCTCTAAACACCAAGCTCTACCTGCTGCAGGATCTTTTATTTTGCTTTTTTTTTTTTTTGGCTGGGGCTGGGTTTGAACCCGCCACCTCCAGCATATGGGGCTAGCACCCTACTCCTTTGAGCCACAGGCGCCATCCAGAACCTTTTATTTTGGATGTGCTGTGCCTCCAGATCCTAGCATGGGGAGGGGGGTACTCCTTGCCATTAAGTTCTCAGCTCAATTGTTAACTCAGAGAGGCCTTCTCTGACCAAGAGTCAAACCTAGCTCTCATCTCTCAGCTACTTACATCCCCATGTGCTATTTCTTCACAGAACTTCCTATGATCCTAAACGATCACATTCATTTATTTACTTATTAATTTCTCATCCATCTCTGTTCTACCCTATTCTTGAATGTAATATAAATACTTGTTTTGGTGTATGCCCTGTAGCCTGGAACATTGTAAGTGTTCAGGAAGTAGTAATTGAATAAAGGAATGAATGAAACAATGGCAGAATAAGCAGAAGAGGGGTGATAGCAAAAAGAAACATATCTAGGGACTCGGAAGAAGAGAAACGGTGGATAGCCAAACACACAGACTCCACCTGTTTATGAAGCCAGCCTCGGATGTGCACAGGGAGGTTGGGGTCCCTTCTGAGTGCATTGCCTCTCTTTCCAAAGGCATGGACCTTGTTTACTGCCCTGGTGGGCTTCTGAGGAAAAAAAGGGGACAGAAGTAAATGGGGGAGGAGGGTGCAGGGATGAGATTGGGAGGGAGTGAAGTCAAGGAGTTGGCTGAAATTAGAGATCAGAATTGGGGGTGTTCATCGTGCAGAGTTGAGAGATTCTATTTTTACATGGGCAGAGGAAAGTGTTCACAGGCTGTTGGGAAAGAGTTTAGGAATCATGGGCCACTCCCTCTTGGCTACCAGAACCAGAGGTGTAGTAGTGCCTTTGGGATCTAAGTCAAGAATATCAGCTGGGCAGTCCCCATCCTCTGAAGTAACTTCCATGCTGAGTCCCTGGTGAATCAAAGGATGCCCCAGTGCCATCGTAGTGTCATCTTTTAGCAACCAAGCCCAAGGAGAGGGGTCTTCAAATCCCTCCTTCCTGCCCAGATGAAGCTGCCTCTCCTGACACATACAGATATCCCAAGTATCCATAGCCACATTGTCACAGGACGCCCTTTCTCCCTTACTGACCAAGGCTGGGATTGAATCTCTGGGCTCTGAGCTCGGGAAACAAAATGTGTAGGGAAAGGCAGAACAAGGAAATGAGTGTCATCCTTAAACTCTTGGCTGGAGTGCTAATTTGGGACACATTATCTGGGAGCTCCATGGGGCCTTATTGTCTTTCCTTGTGGGGTTCATTAGTGAGTAGACTAGATGGCTAGAGATGGGGCAGGGAGTCTTAGCCCTGGTCAAGAGCAGCCACTGCTTCTGAGAACTCAAGGGGCCTCATGGCTGGGGAGTGGCCTTATCTTAGCAACCAGGGTCAGGGGAGGTTGTTACTCTGGCTTAGAATTAGGAAAATACAAGGGGTGGGGACCAAGCTGGGAGTGCCTCTGAATTCCTAGCTGCGGCTGGTGGGCAATTTGAGACCTTACAAGGTCTAGCAGATGCTATTGCTCAGGATCCTCCTTCTTGTGTTTTTTGTTTGAGACAAGATCTCATTCTATTGGCCAGGCTAGAGTGCAGTGGCATCATCATAGCTCACTGTAACCTCAAACTCCCGGGCTCAAGCGATCCTCCTGCCTCGGGCTCCTGAGTAGCTGGGACGAGAGGCATGCGCCACTACACTCGGGTAGGTTTTCTTTCTATTTTTAGTAAAGATGGGGGTCTCAATATTGCCCAGGTTGGTCTTGAACTTCCAGCCTCAAGTAATCCTCCCACCTCACCTTCCCCAAAGTGTTAGTATCACATTCATGAGCCACTGCACCCAACCAAGATCCCAAGTAGCTGGGACTACAGGCGCCCGCCACAACGCCTGGCCATTTTTTGGTTGCAGCCATCATTGTTGTTTGGCGGGCCCGGGCTGGGGATTCGAACTCGCCACCTTAGGTGTATGTGGCTGGCGCCTTAGCCGCTTGAGCCACAGGCGCCGAGCCAAGATCCTTATTCTTAACAACCAGAATCCCAGGGGTGGCCTGGAACCCAAGGCTAAGAAACAAGGGATGGGTGACCCAGAGACTGCCTTCTTCCCCATCCCCACCGGGAAGCCCGAACCTTGGTGCTCAGGCTGCTGAGTGAGGAGATGGTGGAGGCGCTGCTGGCCAGGCTGAGGCTGCTCCGAGGTCTGCCCTCCTCCATCGAGGGCTTGGGGGAGAAAGAAAAGGGCTGTGTTTCTGTAGCTGACCCAGCTTGGGACAAAGATGGGGTCAGAGGCTCGGTGGTCGGAGGAGGCTGAGGAGAAAGAGCCTGTTGTTTGGGGGCTGGAGGGTTGGGGAGGCCATGGCCCCAGGATCGCATACCAAGAGCGATGCCAAGAGAGGTAGGCGGCCCTGGCAGCTGCGGGAGGGGGCAGCTGTTTGTAGCACAAGCTAGAGAATAGGGGCTTCTTTATTCCTGGCTACTGTACTCTGCCCAGGAATTTGACCCTCTTTGTGTTTAGAGATACCCCCATTCCCTGGCTCCTTCCGGCTGCGCCAGGCTACCTGTCTCCTGCCTTCCCACATGAACCCCCAAATCATCCATGCCAACTCCCCAAGCCAAGCCCTGCAGCCTGAGGAATGTGCACCCAGGCTGCCCCTCCCAACCCAGTCAGGGAACTTACCCAGCTCTTAGGTCCCAAGCACAGTGGGCAAGGGCAAGAGGTTAGTCTCCTACCTCCTTTGTCCCTTAGGTGCTGTCTCTCATAGTTCTCTGTCTCTTCTCACCAGGTCATTGGCCCCTCTCTGTTTGTCTCTTTCTCTCTTGTCTCTTATGCTCACGCTGTCCCTATCTTTCTTTTAGACTTTCTTCCAGCCTCACATTCTATCTCCCTCTGTCCAATCTCTGTCTTTCAGTCTCTCCTTCACTCATGCTCTCCCTCCATCACCGTCTCTCCCAATCTTTGTTTATGTCCAGTTCTTTCTTTTTCTCTAGGACTCTCAGAGTCCTCTTTAAGTCTCTATCTCATTCTTTCCCTGTCTTGCCCTGTCTCTCTCCCTCACATTCAATCTCTTCCTCTTTCTCACTTTCTGGCCCTCCACGTCTGCCGTTTCCTTCCCTCTCTTTTGGATTCTCTTTCTCACTTTCTCTCTTCCTTCCTCTCCCAGTTTCTCTTTCCTTTATGCTGGGCTTTCCCTCCCTCTGCCAGCCGCCCACGCTGTTGTCTCCCCTCCCAATCCGGGCTGTCCCCGCCCCTTTTGGCCTCCCCACCACAGCCTGACCTCTGGCTTTGCTGCCCCCACAGTTAAGGGGAGGGGCTGGGCCCCCCTCACCCCAACTCCAGGATCCTCTAAGAGTTAAGGATAGGACTTTTCACTATTGGGAGAGAGTAGGAGCTAAGGCCTGGACTCCAGTGCCCCCGTGTGAGTTTGTTGTGGTCGGGGCTGGGGCCACTCAGGCCCTTAAGTGGAGGGGCGTGGGTCTTGCAAAAAAAATGAAGGCTCAGACTGCCAAAGCCCTGGAAGGATTGGGTTAGAGACCAAACTCTTGGGTGCCTAAGAATCAAGCAAGGAGTGAGGACTGCTGAGTTGTAAATAGTGGGAAGACTTGCAAGTGTGGCTTTGATTTAATGGGGCTGGAGATTTGTTTGTCCAGCTCTCCCAGAAAGAAAGGGTTGGTCCTAGATTCCTGGATTCTGGCAAGGGCAAGGTCAAGTGGCATGTTTCAAATCTCCACCTCAGGTTTGGCACCTATAGCTCAGTGGCTAGGGTGCCAGCCACACACTGTTTGAACCCGGCCCTGGCCTGCCAAACAATTATAACTATGACAAAAAATAGCTGGAGGGCGGCGCCTGTGGCTCAAAGGAGTAGGGCACCGGCCCCATATGCTGGAGGTGGC